CCCCCCCCCCCCCACCCCCCCCACCCCACCACACACACACACACCTTCTCTTGCAGGACCAGGCGAGGCTGGATGGCGCGCTGAGCATGCTGCGCCTCATCGCCAGGAAGTACGAGTTCAAGGACGATGTGGACCGCCTGCCGCTGGTCCAGATGGTGCAAGCCACCTTCCCCCTCGCTCCTCCCCATCTTCCAGGTGCCAGGGGGAATGCGTTGCAGGGCGTGGGGGTGGGGGTTGCGATGCGTCGACATGCGGCTGCCCAGGCCCCTCAACTCTCGCCCATCACCACATGGGGTCCTCACCGCACCGAGGCAAACAGGACCCCCCTTTCCCACCCACCCCCCTCCCCCACATACAACCACCTCGCAGTCTCTGCTCTCCAGCGACAGCGCGTCCCTGGAGCTGGCGGAGCTGCTCAAGCTCATATGCAAGGTGTACTGGTCCTCCACGTACATGGAGATCCCGGAGCTCATGACACACCCTGACGCTATCAGGGCGTGGATGTCCTGCTTCCAGACCCTCATCATGCGGCCCCTCCCCCTGGTGCGTTGTGCGTCGGTGTGGTGGGGAGGACGGACTTGGCATGTCAGACCCTGGGCCGGACCTGTACGATGAGGCACACGGCGCTCCTCTTCTTCTTGGGACGGTGGACCGCGCTGCTCCTGCTCCAGACTGCGAGCGACAGTGCATGTGTATGACGGAGACAGGGAAGTCTGAACGGTACCCCTCCCGCCACCAACCATGTCCCAGGACCAAATGCCGAGCGACCCCGACTCTCGGGACGCATGGCAGTGGTGGAAGACGAAGAAGTGGGCCCTGCACATTGCCTACCGCATGTTCAACAGGTATGAAGGCGCTGGGTGTGTGGTGCTGGGAGGCCGCTTCGCGGCAGGATGTGGCTCGGGGAGTGTCCAACTCGAGGGTCGCGCAGCAACGAGCACCTGAGCCGCGGCAGGATGCTCATTCCAATGCGTCTCTCAACACTCTCGGGCGCTCAAACCTCTCTTTTCCTAGCTGCTGCCCTGCCTCCCCTGTGTCATATCCGTGCTGCAGTATATCACCCTCCCCCTTCACCCCCCCGCCCCCCCACAAAAACCCGATAGGTATGGAACCCCCGACATGTGCACAGAGGCGGGCGACGTGGCGTTCGCCACCGTGTTCCGCCGCGACTGGGCGCTGCCCCTCCTCCGCGCCTGCCTGCACGAGCTCAGCGGCGTGGCAGCGGGGCAATACATCGCGGGCCGCGTGTGCAACATGGTTCTGCAGTACCTGACCCAGGCCCTGGCCTTCTCCCACACCTGGAAGGAGCTGAAGGTCACCCTGCCCAGCCTGCTCCCCAGGTGCGGCATGGGTGGAAGGGGGTACCAGGCGGGCGGAGTCAGCGGTTGCTGCAGCCCGCACTGTCTGGGTTACAGGCATGCTCAACCCTCCTCAACTATGCATGTGAGGTCCTTTCATAACCGTTCCCAGCACTCCTCGGCCCATCAATGGATCCCTCTGCACTCTCACTGCAGCGTGATCTTCCCCATGCTGTGTTTCTCCGAGTCGGATGCCGAGCTCTGGCAGGAGAACCCCCACGAGTACATCCGCAAGGTATATTCTGGTTGGCAGTCGGGTGGGGAGCCCGATGCGCAGTCAGTTGGCAGCGTCTGCCTCCAAGGCAATAGTCTGCCATGAGAGCGGAGGCTGCCTGAGCAGCTTGCCAGAACCTGAGTTTTGGAAGGGAGGCTGGCGCCCTGCCCTACTACGCCGCCTCTGTCCGCCAAAAACATCCTCGCACTGTATCCCCGCCCGCCGCGGTGTCGCAGGGGTACGATATCATCGAGGACCTGCACTCCACCAAGACTGCGGCCATGAACTTCCTGCTGGAGCTCTGCAAGTCCCGGCCAAAGGGCAACCTGGATGCCCTCGTCCAGGTTGGTGGAGCTGGAGGGAGGGGTGTGTTGGAATGGAACGCCGCTGCAAGGCCTGGCCAGGGAGTCCGGGCCGGGGGTGGAGCCGGCGAGGGCAGCTGGGTCGCCAGCCAGAGATCACTCGCTGTGCCTGGGAGTGCCAGGCCTCACCCCACCCCACCCCTCTCCATTGCATCCACCCACCCCACCCCCGGTCACCTATCCCCCCTCACCCCTCCCACTCAAACCGCAGCACATGGTGGGCATCCTGGGGGAGTTCCGCGCCGCCGGCCCCGGCGCCGACCTGGCGCTGGCCCGGCGCGCCGACGGCGCCTGCCTCGCCATCGGCACGCTGAGCGAGGTGCTGAAGCAGAAGGCGCGGTACGCCGCCTCGCTGGAGCCCATGCTGCTGCAGCACGTCGTCCCCCTGTTTGACTCGCCGCATGGCCACCTGCGCGCCAAGGCCTGCTGGCTGGCCGGCGCCTTTGCTGACATCAGCTTCCAGGATGGCCAGGGTGCGATTTGTTTTCGTGGGGGGGGGGGAAAGGGGGAAGGGCCTGGTTGTGGGGCAAGGGAGAGGGGGAGCCTGGGTCGCGCTGGCGTCGTGTGGCCTGGGGACTGCCGAAGGCACTCGGGAACCTGGTCCACCATGCCAACAAGGGAAGGGTGGGTTGAGGAATGTGCCACTTCCTTCTTCCGCCTGCCTGCCTGGGGCCCCGGGGTCTCCCTCGGCGTTCCCCAACATCGGCTCTCCCCACCCGTCTGCGGCGGCC